TTATATAGCTAATTCCATTGACAAACCATATGGAATTAGGAATCTAAAGATTAACATAAAAAAAAGGAAATATCATGATTATCATGAAATATCATGATTATCAGAAAAAAAAGAAATAGAAATCATAAAACTAAGGCCACGCAGTATTGTAGTTTGAATCCGTCATGTTGGCGCCATATTCGAAGATGCTGCTGCATCACTTGTGGAGCCGACGTGTCGGTCCGTCTCAGCATCACATCACCGCTCCAAAAAGCTTGCAGTGTTAACTATTTAAAACATCAACACTTCACGAGCCTTCTTCACTCTTTGCAACAGAGCAGAACTCAGATCCAACAATGCAGGATACCACCAAGGTTCTTTCTTTCTTCTCTGTTTTTACCTTCGTGTTCGTATTCGTGTCCATCAAGCAAGCTGAGTTTGCGAGTAAGTTAATGATGTTCTTGATAACTACTGCAGAACTCAACTTACAGTCCCGAGGAAATACTTTTGCATGCAATCAAGGTATATAATTTACACAAATGATGATTTTGGAAGGACAAATTAAGAAGATATTAATGAAGTTCAGTTACGTAATAACTTATGGTAACTCTCTTCTTTACACAGAAGCAAAGAGCAGCTAGTGGAGATCTCAGGAATGCTGTGAAAGTACTCCAGGTATCACATCTCTTCATCTTTTTTGGTCTATCCATGATCCTTGACTTGATGAAACTTTATACTTGTATATAGAATCAGGAAGAAGAAACACCTCGTGATGATGAAAATGATTATGATAATGATGATGAAGACGACAATGATGAGGAGGAAGATGCAAAATATTGTAGACGTGGGTTTGATCATGGATACCATCTAGTGAAAGGCCAAATGGGTCATGGCATGGAAGACTACATCGTCGCTGATACAAAAACTGTTAAAGGCCATAAACTTGGGTTATACGCCATATTCGATGGACACTCTGGTCATGATGTAGCAGATTACTTGCAGAGCCATCTTTTTAACAACATCTTGAGTCAGGTTTCAAAAATAACAAAAGCCAAAATTATTCACGTAATATTCTCATTTACTTTTCAAGACATTGTTTCTGTTTTCACGTAGCCGGATTTTTGGAAACACCCTAAGAAGGCAATCAAGAGAGCTTATAAACTTACGGACGACTACGTTCTCCATAACGTGGTTGGTTCACGAGGTGGCTCCACGGCTGTGACGGCTATAGTTGTTGACGGGAAGAAACTTGTGGTTGCAAACGTTGGAGATTCAAGAGCAATCTTGTGTCGTAAAAATGATGTAGTGAAACAACTTACGGTTGATCATGAGCCTGAGAAGGAGAGAGACCTTGTAGAGAGCAAAGGCGGCTTCATCTCCAAAAAGCCAGGTCCATTTTCCACTCTGATTATTTCACTATATATCGAGTATACCACATAACTCTTTATGTTGTTATGATTAGGTAATGTTCCAAGAGTCGATGGACAACTAGCAATGACACGTGCGTTTGGAGATGGACGTCTTAAAGAACATATTAGTGTGAGGCCGGACATAGAGATTGTTGAGATCCATGGCGACACAAAGTTCTTGATCTTGGCAAGCGATGGACTCTGGAAGGTTTGTGTAATATGAGTAGACTGTTGTCATATGGAACTGGTTCACCCAAAGGCTGGACTAAAATTTTGATGGGTTTGTTTGTTGTCCAGGTGATGTCGAATGAAGAGGCATGGGACGAGATTAAAGAGATTAGGGATGCAGAGAAAGCTGCTAAAGCACTGATTGATGAAGCATTAGCTAGAGGAAGTAAAGATGATATCTCTTGTATTGCTGTTTCCTTCACCTAGTTTAAAACCTTTATGTTTCAAGTCTTCTGAGTTTAGTTTATGTTTCTTTCAAGAACAAACACTGTTTCAATATATTATAAAAGTTTCGAGTCGATGTTGCTACAAAAATGCGTAATGAGATTTTCCCAAAAAAGCTTAAAGGGATTCAGGAGGACTAGTAGACGGTCTGATCATGGAAGGCATTTTCATAAGTCTGTCTCTTTCCATCTTGTTCTTGAAAGAGTGCTTAGGCGTTATGGACATCTTGTTCAAGGCGTAATCAAGATCACCTTCTTCCTCTTCTTCTTCATCACTCTCCTCATCCCCATTCACAATTATCTCAGCATCGTCCTCCTCCTCCTCCTCATCATCTTGTTTCACCATCGACCAGTAGATGAAATTCGGGGAGATAAAGCTTAATGATCAGCCAAGAAAACGCAAAAAAGTGTTAAAAGAGCACGAAACCACCATTTAAGATTACATTAGAGAACGAGTAAAACAAATTCAGAGAAAGTGTTCAAAGAAAGTGAACCTGTTAGAGCTTTTCAGCAAGCAAGGGTCAAAGGGGAAGAATGTATCAAGCCTCTCAAACCCACCAAACGCACGAGAAAGCTCAGACTCAAGTAGATCATCGAAAATGAAGGAGTCTGAGACGACGAACATGCCACCTGCTTTAGCTTTTCTAAGGAACTCTCCAACTACAGATGGGAGGCATACCTATACACAAAGCAAATTCAGTTACAAATCTTATTATGAGTTTGATACTCTTGAACAGGTCATATTAACAGCTGAACTTAGATGAAGAACGAGCAGAGCTCAGACTATATAACTAACCATCAACGGGTTTAGTTTGTGCATTAAAATTGACTCCAATGGTATAAGCTCGGACCGAAAGCGAGGAACATCTAGAATGGATCTCATCCGGAAGCAGAGCACATACATGATCGCCTGTGTTCACAGAACATTATCAAATATAGGTGAGTTAGAGACCTTATGAATGTAAATTTTAAATGCAATATCTACCTGGCATCCGGAGTAGAAAAGCTGATGTGCGTCAGGCCTTATATCATCATTGCAAGTTCTACAGTAATCCGCACACTCATCTACCAACCTAAAATTTTACACAATAAGACAACAGTAAAAACAATGTTGTAACAGGCTGAAGCTTCAATAAGATCAAACATTTATGTTTGAGGTACAACTTTAAACCTTTTTAACATGGTAGCCACATAGGAAACAGGCAAAAACTTTCCACGAGCCAAGTAGCTGGCTAGATAAGCCACTGCACTCATCCTGTTGTTGTACAAAAGAGGGAGAACCAAAGCAAAGTTCATTAGAACAATAAAAGATAGTACTATGCAGAGAATGAGAAATGTTCCAAAAAAAAAAAAAAAAAAAATGCAGAGAATGAGAAAATTTTGACCATAGAGGAGAAAGTGAAGCTTGCCTTGTAGGTCGAGGCTTATTGCTGGAGAGAAAAATGTCCATCAGCTTACTCCCAAATTTCACACCACAATTTTCAGGATCCAGTGAACATGCATAGAACATCAGAAACTGCATATGAAAGTAAACGTGAGGCTCAACATGATACATCTCAAGTGGACCGTGTAACCACAGTTGCTAGAGTCTAGAAATATGAAAATGGTCCACAGCTATGTTGCCTACCTGAGAAACTTTTGATTTGTATGTATTCAGAATGAAGTTCTCGAATGACTCGAAGAGCTTTTCAAACACCTAGCCAAACCATCAAAAACAGATCAGCAAAGAAGATTCATAAGCACATGAAGGAAAGCATATATATCAAAATGAGGTATTATTTGGTGCCATACCTGATCCAAACGACCATCAAGCTTACAGGTTTCAAGATGATGAAAAGATGTGACCATCAATTTATCCAAAGACTCAAAAACTATGTTTTTACTGGATGTATCCTGTTATATCAAAGTCCAAACTGTCAGTCCAGCCATCTTTTGACGATGCCAAACCCCAAAAGCGTACATATAATATATAGTCAAAACAAACACTCAGCCTACCTCGTCTCCTTCATTCATAGCATCTTCAAGTTCCATATCAAACATGCCTCTATTAGAATCATCTTGTAGAATATCATCCCAATCAATCTCCAACTAAAAGGATACATCAACATATCATACACTGGCAAAGTTACTTAATGGCGTTATTTGTATAAAACATATTCTGTACTTACATCCAAATCTCGCAGCCTCTCCATCACCATCATAAAAATCATGACGCTACCAACTTGCCCGATTGAGCTATTCTCCAACTTTAGTAAGTTCTCCACATAAATCACTACCACCTGCAAGACGGTAAAATAGTTTCTACTAAGTTTGAGCTTGCCATTGAAAATTTACCAAAAAAGAAAGACTCACCTGGTCCTTTTTGTTTATTTTGGGCAGTTGTTGAGCGAGTATGGGAAATAATCTAGATGGAGCAAGAGGAACCAAAAGAGAGATTTTCAGAAGTGCTTCATGAACCCGATCAAGAACTTCTCTCTTCAGGTCGATTACACGTTGTTGCCTAAGTCTATTAATTACCCAACCCGGTGGAACGAAGTGTCCTACGAGCCTATTAAGACAAGAGTCCAGATACTTCCCACTAGTGGCAGCCTGTGATGTAAGGAAAAAACAAAAATAAATTGTGTAGCTCCACATCCAGGTTTAAACAATAGTCATCATAGTGGTAATCGTTGTGTACCAGTGAGACGAGTAGGTCCACCAATGCATCCATGACATGAGGTTTGTGATTCCACAATGACATTCCAAATATCTATAACAACAATATAATTGAGATGAAATCCAAAAGGTAGAAGAAGCAACCGTAAGCAAAAGAAACTCACCGCAGCGAGAAGCCTTCGATGGTGAGTGGTATCTATGCAAGCCACAGAGCATGATAAAGCTTTCAAGACTGTGTCAATCTGTGCCCCAACTTCATGGTCAGATCTATTGTTGATCTGAATAGTTTCAACAAGCTGGTCGTAAAGGTCTGATTCCCCCTGGCACAAGCAAAAAAAAAGGAATAAACTACAGTCAGAAAGCATTAAAAATAAACAGCATCAAACACGTAAGCACATAAGAGAAGCAGCACTCACACTATGGACAGATGCAAGGGCGTTTCTCACGGTAATCACATTATCTGTGTCAGGCAAATCATTGTTGCCCATATTATACAGGCTTGACGGATCAGTTAGAACCTCTGCTGCTCCCATCCTCTTTGTGGACTTTGTTGTGCTAGCTACTACACAAGATGACCAAGAGCATCTTTAATTTTTACCAACTACTCAAGAGTACAACACACTTATCTAGAGCAAAACCCATAAAGGACAAAGCATGTCTCTTTAATCTTTCTACCCGATGCAGTAACCAAACAGGGAAAAAAACGAACTTTACTAATCTAAAAGCGAACTAAGAACTTAAGAAGAGAACCCATCAGGCTACAGAAAGGTTTCGAATTTACTAACCCCTCGAAATAGAAACCTAAAATGTCCAACTGATATTACGTTTTCCCGACAACAAAAGTAGGCACAAAGGGTTTAAAGGAACTGACCAGGTTTAGTAATTGAAGTAAGCTTCTGCTTCACCGAGACAAGGTAGGGAGGGAGGCTGGGGAAGAGACAGATTTGCCTCACTTCGCCAACAAACCCTTATAACTGAACTCGGTAATTTACGGGAATACCCTTATTTCTTTTATTTTCCGAGTAGTCCTTACAGTTTTAAGTTTCTTTACATTTTGGAATTGATATTATAGAAGTTTAGAGAAGACCCTATTTCTTATTGTTTCCTAATTAAAGTTTTCAGACTTTGCTTATTGGATATTGATATCTAACAATATTAAAAGCATAATATCAAGGCCGTCAGCTGAAAAAATTCACCAATCAAAATACATTTTAGTGCCACATCATTTATGAATTACCATATCAATTTTATTAAGACAATTGGACTTCTCCGGAAACATTAAGACCTTTGCTTTTATTTTTTCCAAAACGAATCACCTTGAAATCACCTCCTTCGGTCAAAAATAATAATAAAGAATCGATGAGTCTTAGAGTCATCGTTGCTTTATGTTTCTCCAAATTTGTCTTGCTGATGAGTGATGGTCGTGTAATCATATACATGTCCTCATAATCAGCTTTGTATCAAGAAGAAGCTGAGAGTACCTAATGCATATATTTTGAGTATTTCCCAACTCTTATTTATCTTCTACTTGAAACAATGGTATGTGATTATTGCCAAATTTTAAATTATTGTGATGTTGGTAAAATAGGAGATTCTTAGGTTTGTTATCCGAAATTAGGAGACAAGGTAGAGAAGAAGATCTTTACAGAAAAAGAACTTGAGCTGGAGAAAAAAGGCTATCAAGGTTTGGCTTTTGAATTTTTTTTTCTCTTCAAAGGGTTAGAATCAAATCAACATAGTTAGGCACTAAGTGTTGAAGAATCAGAGGAAATAAGTGTGTCTTAGTTCACAAAAAATAGTTCACAAAAAAGAGAGGAAATAAATGTGTCTTCTGATTTGTGTTGTACGCTTTTGTATTTGTTATGCACAAAGCTCGGATCCAGATTTAGAAAGATCTGAGAGTACTATCAAAAAAATAATTTAAGTTATTGTATCTAAAAGCTATTTGATCCATCACTCCAAATACCTAGAACCATCACTCTAGATATTTCTTTAGTTAAATAATATTAATTAAAAATTGAAAGTTAAATTTGAAATATAATTTATTGATGGTCAATTTTAAGAATTAAATGCTAAAAAGGAATATTTATCTTAATATTTGTTTTTAATTAAAAAAAATTATATGGAAACAAATGAAGTATGCTTATAGTCTGAAAATCAAATATTTATTGTTTAAAAAATAGATGAGTAAAAGGGAATCTGTGTATTTTCTGTGTAGTTGACGGTGTTTACGGTCTATGTATTTCTCTATGGTCGGATGTACCTTGGTTCTTTCTTATTCAACCCTTCTGGTTGTGAGTGGCACAAAACTTTTGATGGCTGGAAAGACTAGAAAAAGTGGATATATGAACATGATTTTGAGCCGGAGAAAACTTGGGAGTCTTGGTGGGAAAAAGAACAAGGACAGCTTCAAAACTCAGGGCTACTTGGTTTGGTATTTAAGCTTATCTTAGATTCTAGATTCTTCTTATTTGAGGAGACAAGTGATGACTTTGGGTCTTTGTTTACCCACTTGCTTAGCTTCTTTGCATTTATATCAAGATTCACATGTATCTTTCTTGCTTTTTGAATTAAATTTATAATTTTGTAATTTAGGACTTAATTTTTTTTTTCTTTTATGGACTTGGTGAAAATTGCAACTGATGGTTTCAATCCAGTTAGTATAAAATAGAGGAACTCGACATATACTATAATACATACTAGGTGGTTGTCCGTGAATTTGCGCATATAATTACTGTATGAAAATACATATTCTGTACACAATGTCATAAAATCTGAATAATAATTAGAAATTTTAAAAATATAATTTTTAAGTTTAAATAGTTTGACAATCAGTTGTAAATTTTTCATAAATTCGGTGCAAATATAACTGATGAATATTTAGTAATAAACAAATGCTTATGGAATTATATATGTAATTATCACATTAACTTTTCCAAAACATATTATGCATCTTCTTTGACCTTTTCTTATTTTTCTCGTTATTATTTCATTTTTTATTACTTTTTTTCTAATGTTTCCTAAGTTTTTACGTATTTATCTCTAAATGGTAATACAAAACATACAATCAACGAACCAAAAATCTATCTTAGAAGTATTTTCAATCATAACATTACCTTATACACTATATTATTTTACTTAAATGCAAAATATTTTTCAAATTAAAGTTCTCACATTATTCGTTAAATATAATCCGTCCAAACTTTAAAGTCTAGTTATTTATAAAGTATTGATATGTTGCATATTTACTTAGTCTTAGTCTTGCATTCTTACTTATATTGAGCATATAGTTTAGATTTAGGCACCTCTAGGTTGCATATTGCATACATTTGTCCTTATCAGGTCATGGAGCATGCTATGGAGTCTCTGGAGGTGTTTGGGGTCGATTACATGTCAAAAGAAGGTGCAAATGTGTCATTTGGCGAGCCGGAGCAACCACAGCGGAGTCAAGAGGTCGCTGCAAGGAGAACCAGCCGGAGCGGGGTCGTGCAGCGGGTCCGGGGGGTCGCTCCACGTCCACAGCGGAGGTTAGGCAGCGGACGCAAGGGGGTTGCTCGCCTTTGAAGAAGAAAAGAGAGAGCTCACAGCGGGCCTTGGCAGCGGGGTCAGGACCCCGCTGTGAGCTCCGGAGCGGGGTCGTGCAGCGGTGTGGTGACCCTGCTGCGCGTATTCCATGTGACGAAAAACTCAAGTTTCAGGGACCTTTTTGCAATTTCGTTTTTAATATTCTGAGTTGGAAAAACCTAAGTTTAAAGGACTCTGTAAGCCACCATTGGAGATTATCTTTGTTCTTGAAGAAAATACTTGAAAACCTATTGGAAAGTTCATCTTTTAAGATCTTTGATCTCTTTGTTCATTGTTTTTACTTGTCTATTTCATCACCTACATGATTAAACTTGAATCTAAAATGGGTTTAAGAGTAGTCATGATGTGTAGTGAGTAAATCAACCTTGAATTCATGGGTTAGGGAGACTAAGGATGATTAGTCTAGAATGAGAGTGTTTAGTTTAGATTTCTC